CAATCACAATTTTTATATTCAGGACTGCTGCCTTATTATTGTGTACGGTGTGCATATTCTTGGTCCTCCTGCATATTATTAACCACATGTACACCAGTGGACTAGTAATGATTTGTAGTTCTCTCTGAAACATTGACCGGCTTAGTTTATGTGTGGAATTAAGAGCTATGCTGAACTCTGTAAACATGAGTGGATACATGTACTGGATGTTGCAGTTATTTAGAGTTTGCATTATTGATTTATATAATGTCAGCTTAGGTGGTTTACAGTACACAGTAAGGAAGTGCACAGTATTATCTGCAGCAAGTACAACTTATAATAACCAAAGTGTTTGTTATTTGAGGTGAAATGTTGCAGAGAAACGTACTCGCTTCTTATTCGCTCTCATTATATCTAGTTGTCAGCACAAGCGTAACAACTGTTCTTCCTGGTACAGATTTCTACACAAGGTGACCTCTGAAATGTTGACTCAAGCAATCGGCGTGTCTCTTGACCATTATGGCTGTTGTGGACTCAAGAAAATGCAATGTTGGCAAATCAGGGAGTTTATAGTTGATACAAAAGGCCTCCTGCTATATGGGTGGAAAGGATCGCAGATGTGTGGAACCGCACGGGCGTTTGACATGCGACTGTTGTGTCCTGGAGGCCTTTGGAAGGTAAAGATGTGAGGGTGAAATAAGGGTGCAGACTAAGGCCAGTTGACTGCTTTTAACAGAATCCAACTTCACAAAGACATATTTTTCCTCTGACAGAACCAAAAGTGATGGATTCTGGCTGTTAGTTGGCAAAACTGTGTTGTTGTTTATTAACAATAGAATCTAGCTGGATAAGGCTTAGACCGTGGTGCATCAAGGCTACGCTGGCTAGTTGCAACACACAACATGTATATACATCAACCATTGCATTGCTTGTGTGCTTCCTGGTTCACCTTACGAGGACGTACCTGGACTATTTAGTTTATAGTGGTACTGAGTGTGGCTCAACTTTGCATGAGCTCTCAAGTAAAACCTAAATCCTCGTGAACTTGCTGCAGCGGCTGATTATTCATCAGACTATTGCGAAGATGTTGGACATTTTTATTGTTATTTTCCAGACATTCTTGATGTCTTTCTCAGACATTTACAATAAACACTTGTGAGTTGACAGAGGGCCAAGTGTTCATTTTGCCCCGGGCGGGGGGGGGGGGGCCAACGCCACCAGCAGGCTAAGATCCGAGATAGAAGGGAAACACTGGGACAAAGTTATTAAAAGCTGTTTTTAATCTTAGCGTCTGACTGTTTGCTCTGTGGCTCGTTCTGTGCTTCCTGAGCTGGAACACCACAGCGGAACAATGCCATCTCGATCAGACAGACCTGCTCTGCTGTTTATGATGGCATCGCTCACACTCTCCACTTCAGGAAGGGTTGGAGTTCGTCACAACCAACCGGGGGGGGGGGGGGGGGCTGGAGTGCTGGAGTTTCCACGTGCTTTGCAGGGAAGAGCTGCAGCGGGTCACTTTTAATAAGGTTCCTCTCATTGTGATCGTACCATCAACTGTTTACCACGATTAAGCGCGGCGATGAGTCCAGTGCAACTGTTCCAATTTTTTATTTTTTTTTTGTAGCGAGTCGATTGTGTGTCGTATTACACACTTTCCGCTATTGGAAAGCACCTCTGACCCCCCCTTTGTTTAAAGAGGAGACCTCGTCTGTCACTGCAGCTCATTTGAGCAGCTGAGGGCAGTGAGTCAGTTCTGTCGATAAGCCGACAGGAAAACAACAGCCCATGTGGAGGAATAAGATAGCACTGCCCACATTTCCAGGAGTGCTCTGAACCAACTGTTTTCCAGAAACATGTTGTTGCCTTTTATCCAGACACGAAACAATGAAGACTCTTGCTCCACACGCTCATGACCCTTAAGTGTGTCGTTAAGTGCTATTCTAGGTGTTTGTCAAAGAGTTGATGTTTAACATACCAGACTTTTATTGAGTTGTGGAAATGAAATCTCGGCTTTGATCAGGTTAATAGAGCCACACCTTCCGTTGTGTCTGGCTCTTCTCTGGTAACTGACGCGATTTATAAATGTCCTGATCGTCTCACGTCAGGGAGAAGTGCAATTATCTCGCTGTCTTTGGCCGGTGTGGAAAGAGGAACAACGTGATTGCCCACCGGCTAATATTCAGCGTTTAACTTCTCTTCACCAACCACTGATGTAAACAGGCTGGTTTGTCACAGAAAGAGGTACTTTGTTTGATATCTCTCTCTCCATCACGGGTGTGTCATCACTTTCAATGCTCCAAATGTTTAAGTTATTGATAAAGTTAACCTGCAGTTTATCAGATACAGAAAATAATAAGTTTTAACTGGCAGCCAAAACACCAGATCTTCATTTTCTGTTGAGTTGAAACGCATAAAAGCATTTATGTAGGTCTTAAACATGAACTACATTCAGAGTAGTTTGCCCCGATAGTTTTGCATAGTAAAATGTGATGTGGAAAATCTTCTCTAAGAGTGTGATCAGAATCATCGAATGGAAACTGGACTAAACGCCTAACTGAAGCACATCTGGAACGTGCCGTCCCCTTTTCACTTTGTTTCGCTGAAGATGCTCGTTTGGAAAGATTTGTGAGTGGAAACAAGAGAGCACATAAAACCTTAGTCATTATGTTTAAAAGAAGAAAAAAAGAAGCAAATATGACACTTGAGTGAGAAACATTAGTTTAATTTTCAACACACTGTATTTCTGGTTGTTCATTATTTAATCCAAATTGAAAAGGGGATTATTCCTTTGTTTTAATCGTTTGCTCCGTGATACATTTGTAGACAGAAGTCTGCAAAGAGTTCCATATTAAAGAGGGTCAATGATACATTTTAGTTTCGAGCAAGAAGTCAAAAAAAAGAAGTGTATTAACTCGTTTCTGCTTCCAAGAAAGTTCCATTTCCATGTTGTCTGTTTAAAAATAAAAAAGGTTTGATATATCTGTGAAAAAAACATTGTAGTTATTTATTAACCATTAATGCCTGGAGCCACTTTTACTCTTTGTTTGACAAGCGCTGTTTATTCCATGTAAATACAAAAAGCCACAAACTATGGAGACCCGCCGAACTATCATGAAAGCTTTTAACCATTCATTTCACCACTAGCATTTTTTTGATAATTTAGTCGGCTCCTGCATATATAAATGGAAGTGTTGAAAGCAAACTGCATGCGCAGCGATTGTCAATTAGCCAATTCTGCTAAACCGACTGCCTGGTGCTACACAGAGAAGTGAAGCGTCCAGGGGGTGGGGGGGGGTTGGTGCGAGCTTCGCACCTCATGTAAATACCCCGGATCATCAGCTGGGCTAAATATATCTGCGACATTACCAAAATCCACACCCCGGGCTTGTCTGTGACCAATATAGCTGCAGGCTTTCATGCTGCGCTGCGGCTACTAAGTATATCACCTTTTTGTCAGCGGGCCTAGATGGCCGCGCTTTAAATAGCCCAACCAGGGCTATATTGAACTGGTTGCAGCGCGGTGGCTGCATGATGCACGCTGGGCCTGTTTCCCCTCAACCAGCCCGAAGGCCTCACATGCGTCTCCCAGCTGCCTACATCCAGTATGTTGTCTCCTTTCCTGTCGACGTCTCGTCAGTTAACACCCGGCTGGTTGAAACCTCGTTCTCTTTTGTCTTGTCTCTCTCTCGCTCTCTCTCTCTATCTCTCACTGCCCAAGGCCAGATACAGGGAAATGGGGCGCCTGGTGGTTGTCAAAGGGAATCCTATTCTTGGAAAGCCCTGAGTCACTCCGGCTCCTGCAGTCATGATCTGAGGAGGGGAGGGGAGGGGGAGGATATGGACATGGTTTTATAGGAAGGGCATGCTGTTCAAGACTTCTCCAAATCGACAGTGACTCTACAGAGAAACCGTTTCAGTTGGATTCAAAGGCTTCACACAACTTCAGGTCGTATTAGCCAAAGGTGGGTGTTGATTAATACGACACTTGAACATTTGCAAGCTCTTTATCGCTGGTTCCCAATAAGCAAGTCAGGTTTTCCAAGCATTTCCTGTCCAGTGATGGCCTTAAAGCAGCAGCTACACACAGCGACAGAGAAAGGGCAGACACATTGTGACCCGCGCTGTGACAACGCAGACACCCAGATCCACAAAATAATAGTTTCACGGCAAATCCGTCAAAGAGGCTTCCAGGAAATCTATCAAGAGCCTTTGCAGCCTGGATTGCATAAATGACATTTTGAGAATGTGTGTTTCATAATTGAAAATGAGATTTCTTGTTTGATCTGCTTTGTACAGAAGAGGACGGCGCTGGAATCGGAGCCAAAATCCTAACAAAAACAGTTTGTGCTCTTCTCTTAGGATGTATTTCACCAAAATGTCAAATGCATTTATTCAAACTGTACCTGTCCTCTCAGATGGGTACAGCATTGTGGTCATTGTGAGGTTGTTGGACACTACACTGCTGTCTAAAACTGCCATGCTTTTGTTCTCTGCATCTATATTCCAACTCATCTGCAAGCTGCAAAACTAATAGCCTAATGGCATACTGCTGAATTGGCTGGATTAGGGGGGGTGGATTTAGTTTGGCGAGGGCTAACTATGATCCGGTGTAACTACGCCACGCACGATTAGGTGTAATCTCCAGGCACGGGCAGCGCAGCTGTTGCATTTAGCCTCCGACAAGATAGCGGGGACCTCGTAGCTGGCCCGGTCTGCTCCGTGTCGCAGCCAGAGAAAGCTCCGGTAGCTGTCTGATCACAGAGCGAGGGGGCTTTGGAGCTAAGCCATCAGACAGCCGCTTAGCGGAGGGGAGAGTAGGTGAGGCTACAGGGAGGAGAGGAGAGACGGGCGGATGGCTGGACCAGTCCGCCAGCGCCCCCCCCC